TCAGGCCAATTTGCTTAGCAAATTGGACGATGGAGCCTCCCAGATTAATTTAAGGATACAATAAACACCCCACATCCACCCCTGGCCTGCTCATGTTAGGGCTTCCTAGAGGAGTACAGGTTTGAAATCCAGGGCTCAGCGCTCCTGGCACTCAGCCCACCTGGAGCCCAGGGACCTGCCCTGTGGTCGCAGGGTGGGGTTAGAGTTGTCATCCATGAGACTGAGCCTGCATGGCCAAGACCACCCAGTGGCCCTGGTTGTAATGGACACTTCTGCCCTTAACTGAGATCAAAAGAGAGTTAAAGCGGCCCCAGCCTGTCTTAGCGGCTTGGGAGGGCGGGTGAGATAGGCCAGGACAATTCGCAATATGACCTGGGTGTGGGCGGTGAGACTGGCAGCCTTCCTGCCCCAGGCAGCAGGCGGGGAGAGGTGAGGGCTTGGCTTCCAGGTTCCACCCCCAACTGAATCAGACTCTGGAGGAGGGGGTAGGTGTCTTCTGGAAGATTCTCCCACTCATGCTTCAGGCCAGGGGTTTCGGCTGGGCATGGGGCTGGTATGGGTTCAGCTCCTGCACCGCTGTCTCTGCTCAGCCCTGTTGCTGGGGTCCCTGGTTCTCTGTGTCCTCAAGGACTTGGTGTCCTCTCCTGCCAGGGCCTGGCCCCACCTGCTCACCCCACACTCCCCATGCCTCTGTGTCCCCTTCTCGGGACCAGAACCCCTTCCCCCACGCCAAGCTCCAAGAAGCTCTTGGATCCCTTCCTTGCCCTCTCTCCAGCACCACGCACTACCCAGGCCCCTCCTACCCTTAGCTCTGCCTGGGACATGCCAGCCCCCACCCCTCACCCTGGGTCCTGGTGTCCCCTCTTACTCCTCCAACCCTGCAGCCCAAGGGGACTTGGAATACAAATCCCATCTCCTCACCTGGGCCCTTCAGTGCCCTCTCTTGGCTCTTGGGACAGAACCAACTCCTAGCAGGTGCTGGCTGCCAAGCAGGAGCCACTGAGGCAGAGGAGCCGGAGCTGTGAGAAGAGAGGACAGGGGTAGCTGGCAGCTCATGGTGGGATGAGCACTAGGACCTGCTCCAGTTGAGCTTGATGGTGCTGCTGTCACGGAGGAGGCTGGCCACCAAAGGCCACTGTGAGACCGCAGCTGTGCTGCTCTGGAAACGGGGCATCTCTGCCACTGGCCTGTGACATGAGCTTGTTTGGTCATCAGTGTTTGACTTGGAGCCCTGGGCCTGGTACCAGCTACAAGAGAGGCAGCAAGCAGGACTGGGCCTCCACTTAGTGGGAGCTCCCAGAGGACTGTCTGAGCCATGGAAGGGGCTCTGGAAGCTGGGCAGGTGCCCTTCCCAAGTCTTAGTTGGACCAATGAGCCCTGTGCCCTCCAGCTGTGCCAGCCCCGTGCTCCCATCCCCATGAGGTCACCAGGGCTTTTTGTCCCTTCAGTGGGTCCTGCTGGGCACGAGCAGCTCCCCAGTGGAAAAAGTGCTTCCTCTCTGCCCTACCCAACCCCTAACTGTGCCCACCCTCTGTCTCAGCACAGACACCTCCCATGGAGAAGGTGTCTGTCCTCAGCTGTAGCCAGGTCTCCCTTCCCCAAGCTGTAACCACACGTTTGTGTGAGTACTGAGTTTGTGCCCATCTCTCCCGGGGGACAGAGACACCACAAGAAAGGAGGGACAAGGCCTGGTTTGCCCTCAACTGACCTCCAGTCCCGGCATTGAGTGGGTGCTCAGTAATACTTTTGGGAAGCGAATGAATGGATGGTTCGGGCAAGCTATTGAAGCTACACAGGGCAGCTTGTTTCCTTCACTAGCAAATGGGCACCTCACAAGGGTCATCTTTTTTATTTTTTACTTTTATCTTTTGCAGTACTGGAGGTAGAACCCAGGGATGCTCTACCACTGAGCTGCATCCCCCCGACCCTTTATATATATATATTTTTTTGTACCGGAGATTGAACTCAGAACCTTGCACTTGCAAGGCAGGTGGTGGCACCACTGAGCTGCATCCCCCCGACCCTTTATATATATATATTTTTTTGTACCGGAGATTGAACTCAGAACCTTGCACTTGCAAGGCAGGTGGTGGCACCACTGAGCTGCATCCCCCCGACCCTTTATATTTTTAATTTTAAGATAAGGTCTCGCTAAGTTGCCCAGGCTGGCCTTCAACTTGTACTCCTCCTACTTCAGCCTTCAGAGTTGCTGGGCAGAGGTCATCTGTCTTCAATTTGTTTATAACTTTTTCATAAGTTTTAGTTTCTTAGCTAGCAAAATTGATTGTTCATTTTGTGCAGTGCTGGGGATGGAACGCAGGGCCTCACACATGCTAGGGAAGTGTTTCACCACTGAGCCACACTTTTGACCCCGATCTGGGTTTTTCTGTTGTTGTTTTTTGGTACCAGGGATCGAACTCAGGACCTTGTGCTTGCAAGGCAGGTACAGTGCCACTGAGCTAAATCCCCGACCCTGATCTGGATTTTATTTCATAGCCTTTTTTTTTAAAGACAGGGTCTCATTTTGTAATTCAGGCTGGCCTCAAACTCACAGCAATCCTCCTGCCTTAGCCTCCTGAGTGCTGGGATTATGGATATGTGCCACCACATCCAGCTATTCCTTCTTCTTCATAATTATCAGAAAATTCTCCCAGATTTTTGGCTTTTCTTTTTAATCCATTCATACATTGTATCCATTTGGAATTATTTTGGCAGAAGATAAAGAAGCAACAATTTTGTCCATTTATTGATTTTTTTTTTTCCCCCTGTAGTTTGAAACACCATTTTTACCATATTCTAAATTTCCAGGGCCAGGGATTTAGCTCAGTGGTGCCACTTCTGCCTCGAAGGCACAAGGTCCTGAGTTTGATCCCCGGTACAAAAAATAATAATAATAAATAAAATAAAATTTCCATGTCTCACTAGGGTGTCTTTCATTGCTAATGTCTTAGTCACTTTCTGATCTTCTAGGATACAGTACCTGACACCCACAACTTAAAGGAGGAGAAGTTTAGTTTTTATTTTTTTAGGAGAGGTTTATTTTGGCTCACAGTTTGTAGATGTTTCAGTCCATAGTCCCCTGGCTCCAAGGGAGGGCAGGATGGCAGACAGGCAAAGCAGAGGAGGGCTGCTCATGGCATGGTGGCAGGGAAGAAGGGAGAGTTATCAAGGGAGGAGGGAGGGAGACAGACCCTTCAGGCCCCGCCGCCAGTGACCCACTTTCTCTGATTAGGCTCCACCTCTCAACCTCACATTTAGCTATAAACCCATCAATAGACCGATCCACTGACGGATATCACAGTCCCATGACCCAGTCACTTCCCAAAGCCCCACCTATGAGCACACAAGGCTTTGGGAGAACAGCTAGACATAAACCATAATAGCTAGTATCACAAAACTCAACCCAAAGCGCTTGAAGAATACAAAAGAGAAACCATATTATCTTATGTAACTAGGAGTCCAGAGGCAGGACAGGGTGGCTTGGTGATGGAGAGGGACTTGTCCCTGGCTCTGTCTGCTGCTCCAATGTCACTGATTGTGAGATACCAGGAACAATGGAGTGGCCGGCCCCTGCTTGTGCCCTGCCCTGCCCTGGACGGACACGCCCCAGGGCCCCCACAGCACCCCTTGCAGGGAAGTCTTGTGATCAGAGGAGCTGACTTTTCCAGTTACAGAGCAGAGCTGGGCTTTGGACCCAGGTGGTGGGCTACAGAGGGCAGCCTTGGGCTGTGGCACACCCCAGGACTTGCTCACTTTTTGTTAGAGAGATAGAAAAACTGATCTGTGCTGAGATAGAAGAGGAAAAGTCTCATCTTGCTTGCTTCCCACAGCCTTTAGTTTATGGTCTGAGCTACACACATCAGTGGGGCCAGATGGCAGAGGGTCGGTTCCCCTCTACAAACCCCTGCAGACTCAGTGGTTGGACAAGTGAGGGCACTGGGGTGCCCCAGGTCAACAGCTGTCACTGATGCCTCCAAAGCCCTGGGAATGCAGCTGTGATCCTAGTTTCATGCCCAGCCATCTGGGCAGCCCTACACATGGTGACCTGACCGTGGCCTCACCCTAGTCTCCTTCACACTTCAGCTCACTGAACCCCACAGCAATCCTGGGGGTTTGGGGTCCCCTGTAGAGGGGTAGGTGGGCAGTCTGAGCTGGCAGCCGGGTGTGAGGAAGCTGTTGACTGAGGGAAGGAGCGAATGAAGCGCTGGAGCAGAGGTCTGCATGCGGACATCAACCTGCCTGGGATGGGCAACCAGGCTGGGATCCTGAGGTGGCCTGCGGTGACTCAGGAGCAGGAGTCTCCTCCCGGGGTTTCTGGCTGGATCTCACGGGACTGGGCAGCATGAAGGGCAAGTCCTGGGCCTGGACAAGAGACCAAGGGGGTTCACCTGAGAAGATGCCCCTGCTCTGCCAAGCCACTTCTGGGCAAGCTCTCCTGGCTGGAAGTGGAAGCCTCAGAGTCACAAGCTTTTCCTGCCCACAGGGGACTCAGGCCTGGGGGACTTTGGGCCTTTTCTCTTCCTTCCTGGCACTTATTCTTTCACGAACAAACAGTATGGTTCCTCAGTACTTGGCGTTAATTATTTCTGAGAGGTATGGCAAGTACCAAAACCAACAAGTATCAAACAAACTGTTTTGTCTGGAAAGGGTAGTAAGTCATGAGGTAATGAATACTGACAAGTTCTAGCTTGCTTGTTGAGAACCAAACCAATGACAAATACTGGCACAAAATTTCTGTGTCAAAATGCATCAAGTACCAAATTTGATGAGTTTCAACATAATCGAGCACCAAGATACGAATGAGTTCAGTTTACTCAGAAGCTGCTGCAAAGGGCTGCAGCAGCCCTCAGGGACCCAAGCAGGGCAGCAGCAAGAAGTGTGCAGGGGTCTGCAGGGATGGGTGGGCAGGGCTACCACTGGGACATTGTGGCTCGGTATGAGGACCTTGAACCTGGGTAGACATTGAGAAAGGCATGGAAAACCCAGGCAGGAGGCTCATGTCTCCTGTGAGCCAGCTAGACACACCTGTAATTGTGCTTTATTACTGCCTTAGGCATTTCTAAATCCATTCAAGTTAACACATCAGATTTACAGTACCCTTAAAGGATTTAGGTGTGATGGACCTGAAAGAAAAAAGAAAAGCTAGGCGTATAAACCAGCCTAAGGAATATGAACAAGCTCAGTGTAATGTATGGAATAAAGATATGAATAATCCTGGGTGACTTTCAGTGTAGTCTTCTTAAAAGTACAATCTTAGTTACAATTCTCCTTGTCTCCTTTCTGCCTATCTTTATTTCTTCTATCCTACCTGTCACGTAGGCTTTGCTCAATGAGGACCCTTTTCGTTCCTGAATCAGCTTGTTCCCTGGTGACAATCCATGGGCTTGAGGTACATGGTTCTTGGCACAGGGTCTCCACCTAGTACACGGTTCAAGAGACTAAGGATTGCTTCAGTGAAAGTGCCTTGCAAGTCACGGTGACTGGCCACTTTGACATGAACACAGGCAGCCCCGAGTCATGTTCCCCATCTAGTTCCAAACTCTGTCCACACAGGGATTGTGTGGTCAGAAAATAGTCCGCTAGATGACTCACAATAGTTCTCATGGAATAAAAAAATGAAACTAAAACTGCGCAGAGCTCTTGTGGCTTCTCAGAATAGAGGCAGGGGTCTGTGGTTATGGCTGCTGGTGGGGGTTGGGCTGGGCCAGGCAAAGGCAAGAGCAGAAGTGGGAGATGTGTTAGGTCACTCTGCCCTGGTCCAGAGCGGGGGGTGGCGGTGCTGAGAATGAGCATAGTGGCATAAGGCAGAAAAGGTGGCCAAGAGAGATGCCTATGAGGGACTGGGTTCAGGACCTGGTTCTGCTGTGGGGGATGAGTGAGCCCCAGGGAGAGGAAGCTGGCTCGGTGAGCAGATGAGTGGCATCCAGGAAAGGACTAGGCTCAATGTCCACGTCCTACCCCCAGGAACTGTGTGCTCCCTGACATGGCAAAAGGGATGCCACCCAGTGGTTAAATGAAGGATGATGCAATGGGCAGAGGATCCCCGCTACTCAGCACAAGTGCTCACAGGGTCCTTTGTAGTGGGAGAGGGAGGGAGACAGGAAGGGACAGTGATGGGAAGACTTTGAGCTAGCAGCTCAGATGGGCGAGGGCCATCAGGTGGAGCACAGGCTGCCAGAGAAGCCGCTCATGGCATGGAGCCAGCCCTGGTCACAGCTGACCTGAGCCCCATGACATCCACCTTGGACTCCTGACCTTTAGAACCTTAAGAAAAACGTGAGTTAAGCCGGTAACCAGTGGTGAAGTGTTACAGCAGCCCAGCCACCGGAAACTCATACAAGGTAAGGACAGTCTCAGTGACAGGAAGAGAGCAGAGCTTCCAGGAAAGAAGTGGGCTAGAGACAGGCGGGTGTCCAGGATCTGGGACAGGAGAGGCCAAGGCTGGGGCTGTGCTCCCTGGGGAGTGAGATGAGAAGAGGGTGTGGCATCTGGAGGAGTTCACAGCAAGAGTGGGCAAGGGCAGCATCAATGTCTGAAGCAAAGCAAAAGTGTTCAATGGAGGTGGCAATCTTCGAACCAGCAGGGGGAGACTAGGGTGCAGCAGGCTTGGGGGGGGGGCAATGAGTCTAGGGGGTGGCTGCTAGAGAGGGGTGAGTGAAAGAAACCCTGAGTGTGTGGGGTGGGGCTAGACAGCAGCCATGGTGTGGAGGCCACTTTGTACAGGAAGGAAGGGGGAAGGCAGCTGAGACAGGAGGAGGACTGGAGCCTTTGGTCCAGGGCAAACCCAAGGCAGGGGCCTGGAGCTCCCTGCAGAGCAGACACCTGGACTTAGGTGGACATAGGCTAGATGCAGCTGCTCACTTGAGTGGTCAGGCAAACCCCAGGACTTGGGTGCACCTTTTTCAGAATCACAGATTGTATGTAGTTGTAAAAAGAAGCATGTGGGTTTTTTTCCTTTTTGGTAAAGTTGCTTCAAGAAGCCCTCTTCAAACACAACAGCTCTCTAGGGCCGGGGATTTAGCTCAGTGGTGCTGCCACCTGCCTCGAAAATGCAAGGTCCCGAGTTCAATCCCCAGTACCAAAAAACCCCACAACAGCTCCCTACTGAGGGGGTACAGGGTATACTGGAACCTGTCTCCAGGGTCATGGTGCCGACTGGACACTGAGCACATCCATCCTAAGGGAGGTCACAAGATCCAGAGTGCCTTCCCTTGAGAGGCCCTGCATCATCCCCTACCCCAGCAACCAGTGGGGAAGGACACCCCAGGGTCAGAGGCCTATGTTGGGCTCCTGTGTTCTGAGCACAATGACCTCTGGGTTGATCCCCAGGGCTCTGGGTAAAGCCTTGCTTTGTTTTTTCTCTTTTCTCCAGTACTAGAGAGTACTGAGCTACATGCCCAGCTCTTTTTATTTTGAGATAAGCCTCACTAGGTTGCTAAGTTGTCCAGGCTGGGCTCAAACTTGTAATCCTCCTGCTTCAGCTTCCGAAGTATTGGGATTACAGACATGTGCCACCATGCTCGGCTTGGCGGCTTATTTTTAAGGTCCCTGAGAAGTGAAGTCTACAGATTCTTAATATTTACTGATGGCCCCTTTAGTGTGATGAGGCCACTAGGGGCACAGCCAGGACTCAAACCCAGGCCAGACTAGAGAGACCATGTGCTCCCCCCTTCCCTGCCAGACAGTCCAGGGCCTATCAACTACTGCATTTGCAGGGCACTTTTTCCAAACTGAAAAATGAGCCGGGCGTGGTGGTGCAATCCTCAGCACTTGGGAGGCTGAGGCAGGAGGATCGATGTATGAGGCCAGCTTGGGCTACACAGTGAGTTCAAGGCCAGCCTGAACAACGTAACAAGACCCTGTCTCAAAACACCACCACCACCACCCCTGAAAACTACATCACAAAAGTGTAGAAAATAGTTTATCATCCAGCAGATAATCCCCATTATCAAACACTTGCTGCCATCCTCTTCCCACTTAATGCCTTGCGAGCACTTTTGCCCTTTCCCTTCTGTTCCAGGCAAGTGGGGAATATCCCCCCCCCGCCAGGGACAGTCAAAGCCTCAGCATCTGCAGTGTTGTGACAGCAGCTGCTCTGCTGAAGGGACTGAGGCTGATGAGTGCTTGGCTCTAGGTCCCCCTTTCCCGGGGTGGTTCCCTGTGTTGTGTGGTCCCTCACCACTGTTCTTTAGCTTTGCTGCCAGGAGCTAGCCCACCTCCTCATCCCAGGATAGACAGTGATGTGGTCCAGCAGAGAGGATGGAACAAACTTCTGAGTCCAGGGACTCATCTCCATCTCCAAGCTTCATGCTGGGTGCCTTCAGGGGAATGGGAGGCTGGGTGGCCCAGCTCTGCTCCAAAGTCCTGCTCCTCCCCTGGAGAGGGAGTGGCCAGAAGGCACAGAGGAGCTCAAAGGCCAGGGCCACAGTTTAGTGGGACAGTGTACTGAGGACCTTGGCTAAGTACTTGATAATCCACAGTTAAGGCAGTACAGCAGGGCACATGTAGTTTTCTACAGTCACAGCTAGAGAGCTGGGATAAAGAGCAGCTGCTTGGCAGATTCCAAAAGGGCAAAGCTGCCCTCTGGCTGACCATGCTTCGCTCATGGTCAATGCACTGTAGTGGAGATCCACCACCCTACTCACAGGTGAGCTCCCAGGATGAGCACAAGGCAGACTGATATTGTTGTAGTGCAATTCTGGAGAAGATTCAAGGTCAAAGTGTCCTCGAGAGGAACAGGAACTCTATGTAACAGTTTCCAGCGTAAAGGCACTTTAATCTGCTCAACAGATTGCCTTAGAAGCAGGGGTGGTTTCTTACAGTACAGGATCCTGCTCTCTTGCTGGTTCTGTTATCAGGCAGTGATTCTGATACAAAATGGTAAACTGCACAATCACAGCAATCATACTCTTTGTAAGAACATTTACTGAGTGCTGACTGCATCAGCCTCTCGTGAGCACTTCCAAGGCCTCCCCTCTGTCTGTCCCCACAGCCAACAGTGTCCCTTTGCCAGCCTCAGAGACTCTTGTTCACTCAGGGGCCAGAGGCAGCATGGGTCTTGACTCCTAGGCAGGATGCCACTTGATCCTAGTGTCCAGGTCTACCCTGATGGTCAGCTGTGGGGGCAGCAGCAGGACAGTGTTAGAAGTGTGGGTTCTGCAGCCAGATGTGCTGTCTTCCTGATTCCCTCCCACCCCAAGCAACAGCAGAGTGATGGTAACAACCGCTGTCAACTGGTTCCTTCTATGTGCTCATCAGTTTCAACTTTCTCCTGCAGGTGCTCACTGAACAAAGGTGACAGAACCCTTGTCCTAGGGTGATGGTAAGGAAAACATGGGAACATCTGTGCAGTGTACAAACCCCAGCTCGGCGGACGCTCAGTAAACAGAGCTTTGATTTAGAAGTGGTGGGGCTGCAGCCGTGAGACCAGGGCTCTCTGCCTGGCTTCTTGGGGTCTTTAGAGTGCTGGACACCAAAGGCACCAAAGCAACCGCTTTTGGTGGACAGCACCAAGTGGACATGGTCCCTCAGAATAGCAGTAGGCCTGTGGAGGTCCTTTCAAGGCAGACACATCTGATTCTCATGTCAATGGGGACATGCTTCCGCTCTCATTTTGGGACGTCCGGGCCCGCTGTTCCTCTTCCACAAGGTCAGCCACCAGGTTCATTTTGCAGCTCCTGAGGACTTGCACCAGGTGGGCCACAGTCGCGTTCTCCTTCTCTGAGTTCTTCCAGATCCTCAGCGACTCTCTCACCCGCTCTGACAGGTTGCGGGGGTATCGCTCCTCGATTCCATCAATCTTAGTGTCAGAAACATTAAGCTGACGAGCCAGTCTTCTCCAGTCTCTTCCCACATTATCACAGATGACGTCAAATGCTGCGCGCAGGTCTGGGAGGGAGAGTGCAAGATGATTTACTGGAGGTTTGGAGAACTTTTAGGAGATAGGGCTCCCCACCCCCAGGGGCCTCAGTGCTGCCTGGGGCAGGCTGCAAGTCCTGTGCTGAGGCTAGAGTCAGACAGCAGCCCAGGGGCTGACACAGAAAGCCTCCAATTCTGCCCCAGCTAGCCCCCCACCCTGCAATGGGTCATACTGAGCTACCTGCTTAGGAGTGGGGTAACTGAGAGGTTAGGGAGTCCCAAGAGGGAAGAAAATAGAGTTGTCCTCATATCTCACCCTATAGTGGGTTGAACGATGGTCCTTGGAAACTATCTGCATGCCAAATCCTTGAAACTACATTCATGTATTTAGAAAAATATCTTTGCAGATGTAATTAAGTGAGGATCTTGAGATCATCTGTGTGGACCTTAAATCCAATGGCAGCTGTCTTTACAAGGTACACAGTGAACAAGTGTGATAGCACACACCTGTAATCCCAGCACTCTGGGAAGCTGAGGCAGGAGCATAAGTCAGAATCCAGCCTGGGCAAGATCTTGTCTCAAAATAGTAAGGGCTGGGGATGTAGCTCAGTGTGAAGGCCCTCGGCTTAGTTCTCAGCATTGCAAAAACAAATCAAAAACCAAAAACAGAGGTCATATGGTGCAGCCACAAGCCAAGGAAGGCCGGGGGCTCCAGAAGCTTGACAGGAAAAGGCAGGATAGTTCCCGATCCTTCAGAGGGAGTGTGGCCCTGCTGACACCTGGCTTGTCCAAATTTCTGGCGTCCAGACTGTGACAGGATACATTCCTATTGCTTTAAGCCATCTAGTTTGTGATAATTTGTTACAACAGACCCAGGAGACTAGTGCACACCCAGTTCTGGCTGCTTCAGCTATCAGATTTTGATCTTTGGCTACCACACTTCTCTGCTGAACGGTCACTACTAAGATCAGAGAGCCAAGCCCTGCTCATAAAAGGCTGTTTCTGGAATGTGGGCAGGGACAGGAAAGCTGAGGCAGGACAAGGTGCTGCCTGGGGAGCACCTGAAAATTCAATCTCTTCCTACATATTAGGGACACCGTTGGCGCTTGTGCCAACTCTCCTAGCACTGACAACCATGAGAGCTAGGTACTTGTTACTACAAGCATTAGTATTGGCGAGAAAACTGAGGCAAGGGGATGTTAAGATCTCCCTGGAATCATACAGCTAGAAAATGGTAAAGCTGGGAGGGATTCAAAACCCTGAGAAGCTGGTGCCAGAACCTACCTTTAACCGAAGTGCTGAAATGCCTCACTATAGGAATATGGAATCGTCTGTTCCTCATCCACCCATACATGCTGTTAACCTGGAGTACGTTCCTCCAACACCCAGTACTACGTAACTACAGACAGACACACACAGCGACAGGCACAGCCACACACATCTAAGGAGTTACTACACATACTTTCAGCACTGTCTTTTACATTTATCAGCATTTCCTCATCATTAAATGTCCATGAACACACAGTTTTTCTATGCCCTGTTCAGTCTGTCCAGCAGTGCTGTGTCAGAGCCTGAATGCCTTCAGGCAGAGCTGTACCACCCAGCTTGCCACCAAGAAGAATCAGTCCTTACACAGCAATACTCGTGGCGTCATAATTTATTTCCTGTTTGATTCAATGACTCAATGGCCAATTCCAGGCTACTGCCTGAAGCCTGTGAGGTGTGTCCCTAAAGTACTTTCCAAATGCCCTCCCTGGGGCTCTGAGAACATGGAAGCAAGGCTGAGAAACCTTGAACTCTGGTCTCATTTTTACTCCTGGAACTCCTGCAAGCCACAGGTAAGGGTGGAGAGGGAGTAACAGATTGGGTAGGAAGCCATTCCACAGTGAACTCCATCAAAGAGGCAGTGCTGTGGCTGACATAGGGTATTCCTCATCTAATTTCTGAGTATCTGCATAATCATAGCAAGGGATTTCAGGACCCCAGTCTACCCATGAAATTCCTGTTTTCCTATACATCTTAGACATACAGTCTGAGGGTAGCTTTATGAACTATTTTAAACAACTTTGTGCATGAAACAAAGGTTCATGATATGGAATTTTCTACTTGTGGCATCATGTCAGTGCTCAAAATTTTTAAGTTTTGAGGGCTGGGAATTTAGCTCAGTGGCACTGTGCCTGCCTCGCCAGCGCAAGATCCTGAGTTCGATCCTTGGTACCCAGAAAAAAAATTTTTTAATTTTGTAGCACTTCAAATTTGACACTTGTAAGGCTGGGCACCTGTAATCCCAGCACTCGGGAAGCTGAGGCAGGAGGATCACCATGAGTTTGAGGCTAGCTTGCGCTCCATAATGAGTTCAAGGCCAGCCTGAACTCATAGTGAGACTCTGTCTCAAAAAAAAAAAAAAAAATCGAGACTTTTAGATTAGGATGTTCAACAAGAAACACCTGATCTGAGGTCTGGCCATCTTGGTTTACTTCTAACTTTGTTAGTTATCAGCTGTGCATTTGGGCAAGCCAGTTAACATCTCTGAGCCATAGTTCCCTCCTGTGAAAGGTGGGACTAATGATGGACAATAAGAGTGTATTAGTCAGCTTTCCTCAGAGACATAATAGTTGCCACCCACAATTAAAAGAGGAGAGGTTTCAGGTTTCATGGAGAGGCTCGTGGTTTCAGTGGCTCTATCCATGGTTGTCTGCTTTCAAGGTAGAAGTGGCACAATGGAAGGGCAAAGGAAAGCTGCTCTACCCACGGCAGTCAGGAAGTAGAGAAAGGAGAGGCATGGGATAAGAATATACTCTTTTAGGTCATTCCCCCAGTGACATACGTCCAACCAGGGCATTGCATTCAGCAATGAACTCACCAATGGATTAGTCCACTGATGAGCATAGCGTCCCTGTGATCCAATCAACTTTTAAAAGTCCCACCTCTGAACCCATGAGCCTTCTGGAGGGCACTTTAGATTTAAGCCATAATAAATAGTATTTAACAGGGCTACTGTGAACATTGAGCAATATATTAAGTGTGTACTAAGTGGCACTCTGTAAGTCCGTGAGTCAGAGTTATCAAGTGAGAAATGATTCTTCCAGGACGAGTACAGGCACTGTTAGCTGGACACACTCCCAGAGGCAGAAGTCAGGCTGAGCTGACCTCTGACAACTTCCTATGACTCCACCCACCCTGACGTTAGCAACGGCACTTTCTTCAGTGAATTTTGTATATTTCCTCGGGATAGTGGGGGTAGTAAACACTGAGGGTCAAGGAGTGAGTGTCTAGGCTCTGCAACCTTGGGGTGAATTAACTTCTCAGAGTTTTGATTCTCCCATCTGCCAAGCGGGTATGGAACCCGCGACCAAGTCCTTTGGAGAAAACCCACGCAAACCGAATTTGGCAAAGGTCAGACGCCCGGGGGGTCTCATGGACTACGGCTAGGCGAACTGGCCCTGGCTCCTTGGTCTCCAACCGCTCACCTGCCTCCCCCGGCGATGCCCTGGAGGTAGCCCCCGCCTCGAAGTTGTCTAGGCGCTGTAGCAGGTCGTGACGCCGCAGGGAGGCCAGCAGCTCCCGCAGCAGCCCGGTGTTCTCGGGGTCCAGATCGTTCTGCTCTAGCAGCACCGAGAAGAGGTCGAGGCCGCACTGCACGCGCTCCAGCTTCCTCTTGCCCACGCGCCCGTGGCATAAGAACTTGAGTTCAGTCACCTCGCTGCTAGACAGGCTGGCTGACAAAGAGTGCAGCAGCACCAGGAATGGGTCCATGGCGCCCACGGCTGCGGGATCAGGACCTCCGCGCGCAGTTTCAGAACCAGCCGGCCGCTCCCTGACTTCTGTACTGGCCTTGCACTCCTACTTCCGGGTTGCTGCAGGAAGTCACCATCGACTTTCTCTTGATGTCTCGCGGGATCACTGAGACCTGCGCATGCTCTTTGCGCCCAATAGGAGTCGCTTCCGCCCGGGGCTGGTGCGACCCAGTTTGCGGCCACTTCTGCGCTTGCGTCTGGCGGATCTTCAGCGGGGCGCAAGCCTGGGCTGTTAGGAGTTACGGCACTGGCTTCGCGGGTGCTCAGCTGGCATATTTGCCAAGCACGGTGTTTCCCTGATGTGAGGAGGGCCAGGGTGGGGCTGGAATAGCACCTGGGAGCCAGCGTGGTTCCTGTCGTTGCAGGGTCAGGTTAAATCACGTATGATAATAATAAATACTACACATCAACATTTACAACATATTGAAAGTGCATTCTGTAGTGTTGAATTTGAGTCTATAACAGAAGAATGGATACGAGGACAAAGGTTAAGAATAAGAAAAGTTTATTGAGATAAAGCTCCCGAGAGACAGGAGGGTCCCTGAAGAATGGGTTCCCGCTGAGGCTCTTTGGAGGTTTTTATTCACGAAAATGACTACATCTGGGCCAAGCTGAGGCCAACCTATAGGGTTACATTAGCTAACATTGACCCAGTAGAGAAGCGAGTCACGCAACACGTGAATACGTGTCATTACTAACGTTAGCTTATCTATAGCTTCTAAAGTAGAAAGATCAAAGGCATTTCCGGGAAGGGTAGGAGTCTGGGTCAGGGCGGTCTGGCCACACCTATGTATCTAACGCCTTATTTAGGCTCACTAGATCAGGAGGTGCTGAGAGATAGAGTAGTGCTCTCTATCTCTAGGGAGGCTGCAGGCCTGGCTCTCTTCCAGTTGGTCACCAGCCCCAATCTTGGTGTGTCCCATCTTCTGCACTGACTCCTTTGAGGGCTGGGCCCCTCTCTTACTGCCTGTTAATTTCTATTTAACTTAGCTGTCTGTAATAACAAGATCGTGCAAACATCATCACTACCATCTAATTTTAGAACATTTTCATCATGGCAGGCCCGAACAGGATACCCATTAGCAATCACTCTCTATCTTCCTGTCCCCAGTCTTGGGAAAATATTAATATACTTTCTGTCTAAGGATTTGACTATTCTAGATATTTTATATTAATGGGACTACAAAAAAAACCATGACCTTTTGTGTTGGGCTTCTTTCACTTTCTTTTTTTTTTTTTTTTTCCGGTACCGGGGATCGAATTCGGGACCTTGCACTTGCAAGGCAGGTGGCAGAACCACTGAGCTAAATCCCTGGTAGCAAAGGTCTCTCTCAGTTTTTGTTTTTTTTGGTACTGGGGATGGAACTCGGGACCTTCTGCTTGCAAGGCAGGCAGCGAAACCACAGAGCTAAATCCCTGGCCCTCACTTTCACTTTCAATTTGCTCAGATTTGGCCATGTTGTAGCACATATGGTACGCTTCAGGGCTGGGGATTTAGCTCAGTGGTTCCACTGCCTGTCTCGCAAGGGCAAGGTCCTGAGTTCGATCCCTGGTACCAAAAAAACAAAAACAAAAAATACATGTGAATATATCACAATTTTTATCTCCATTCATCAGCTGGTAATCATTAAATTTCTTTCCACTTTTTGACTGTGAGAAACACTGAGTTGCATCTTTAAAGAATCCTGGCTGGTGAGAAGTCAGGACTCTCCACAGTCATCCCTACAAGGGATGAGCAGGGTGGGACAAGAGTTCAGATGACAGTAGAGGCTGTGAGAAGAGAACATTCTTTTTAAGATTAGAGAGGAGGTATAAACAGGAGAAATTCTGACGCATGGGAAGGTTTGAAGGACAGGGCTTCCAGTGACCAACCAGGAAAGTTGAGGGGTAGTGGGTGGGGTGGGGAAGGAGCAGGGGTTAGTTTGGGACCTCAGATGCCTGTTAAACATTTTGCTGGAGATGTTGAGTATAGGATGCACAGGATGAGCTGAGCAGGAGGTGTGGATTTGGGAGTCATTTGCAGGTAGATACAGGGGAAGCAGCCACAGAATGAGGTCCTCTATGGAGAGAGGCAGATAGAAAGGTTGACCAGTGCATGGTCAGGGACATCCAATAGCAAGGGGCCAGGGAGATGTGGAGTAGCCAGTGGAGAAGCCAGAGCAAAAGGCTCCATGGCAATACTGGGAGCCAAACCAGGAAGTATTAAACTGCATTCCGCATCTGCCTCACCTGGCTGGAGTTTCTTTTGCAGTGCTGGGGATGGAGCCCAGGGCCTTGTACATGCTAACCAGGCATTCTACCACTGAGCAACATCTCCAACCTTAGGGCGACTTTTTAAAGGAGGCATAGGGCTGGGTGTGGTGATGCAGACCTGTAATCCCAGCACCTGGGAGGCTGTGTCAGGAGGATCACTGAGAGTTCAAGGCCAGCCCTGACTACATAGTGAGTTCAAGGCCAGCCTGAACTATAAAATGAAACTCCAATATAGTTACTCCTTTTTTCCAAACTGGCTCTTTAAGTGCATTTGTTCTCCTATTCCTTACATCTGCCTTCCCACCCCCTTGCTATGTTGTATAATCATAAATACTAACCATACTAAATATTCCAATGTGCTTGGTCTTAGCCAGGACAGAGCTAAGATGAGGTGGTCTTTAGCCAGGAGAGAGGTAAAGATCAACTCCCGACCCCCCAAGTAATAAACTATCTGTCAGGCTTGCCCTAAATCAACAGGAAAAAATAAACAGGGTGCTTTTAGCAAATACCAGAAGCTTCCCAGTAAGTAGGGCAAATGGACTCAAAAATATGGTTTACAACCTCCTGGTATAGAACAGTCCAGTAATTGTATACATACCTGAGCAGACTGTCCTTGGGCAGTTAAGTCTTTATGCCACCCCAGATTCCTTAGCCCCTTCAATACCTATATAAGCCTAATTCCATTCCCACTTAATTGCTAATATGTCTCTCCCCTGGTGTTAGCCCATCCTCTCAGGGATGAAGTGTCTTCCAGCTAGCTGCCACTATCTATCCCATTGTCAGCCCATCCACATTGGATGTGATAAACTTGGCTTTTCCCAGCTAGCTGCAAAAATCTGATTTCTAGCCCCGTTAACTGGAATAAACTCTTCCTTTTCTCACAACGAAGATCCTATTTTCACCGACAAGTGGATTCTTTATAACGCTCAATTGTTATTCTTTATTCCTTGTTCTTTGCATATTATTCTTTCATCCCCTGCTGTCCCCTCATCAGGTGACTGGGCATCCCCCGGGGACTGGTCAGGCTATCAAACTGACAACTGGTTGGGCTGTCACTCCTACATGGGCTACCAATCCATCCTTTCCAAAGCCCAGTGTTCACGAGACCTATCTCTGGGGACAGGAGACCAGCAGGTTTTCCGCACTGTGCCCCTGAGTTGGTCCCTGAGTGACCCTTGGGGGAACACAGGTTCTAGCAGGGCTTGCAGAGACAATGTGTCTTAGGTACTCCTGGGAACTATCTGGGGCCACCTGGGCATGGAGGTGGGGGTTAGGGAGTGGCTCCAGTCTTATGGGCTTGGGCTGAGGACTCCCAGCCCAGGTCCCATCACTGCAGAGGGGCACAGCTGTGGCTCTGCAGCTGCTGAGGAAGCCTGGAACCCCCGAGCCCATCTGCTCCCTTAAGGGGCCCACACTCACCTCCTGAGGCACACTCACCTGCTGCTGAGTCTCCTCTACTTTCCTCTCTTCTCTGTATTTTTGAGGTCCTTGAGGCCCAGGTCCCCTAGGATGTCAGCAGTGAGTGGCCGGTGGCCTTGCTGTGGAGCCAGGGGACCAGGCCTCCTTGGCTGGGCCTTGCAGGCCAAAAACCCACCAAGCTGTTGGGACTCTTCCCAGGCGTGGGAAGAAACCTCTGTGTTGCAGCTTCTAGAAGATTCTCCCTGAGAGGATGCAGGGTCCAGGCATAGTGTGAGCTTTTTTCTTGAATCTGTGTCAGAGGACTGATGTGGGGCAGGCCAGGGGGAGTCCCCCTGATAAAGGGCGTATGATATGTGGACCTCCAAATAATATAAAGGAAATATTATAAATCCCAACCTGCTAGATGTACGATACACCAAGTTCATGTTTTCTAAAATCGAAGAATGAATTGGAACAATGGAGGTTAAGATTGGGAAGTATTTATTGAGAGAAAGATAGCTTCAGAAACCGGGTTGCCCTCGGACTCCACTTCTCAGGGGAGTTTTATAGAGCAAAGCCAAGAGGTAAGGCAGGTACAAGGGGGGACAAAACTATAGTCAACCAACACAAGCAAGGTCACTTGAGTAATATTGACCCAATGGAAAATCAAAAAGTGTGTATGAGATGGAACAAAACTAAGGTCAACTAATAAGATATGTGTATAGTCACTTGGGTAATATTGATTAAATGGGGATCAAATGGGGAAGCAAGTCACGTAGCAAGTGTACATGGAACGATGATTTTCCAGGAAGGAATGAGCTAGGGAGGTTTTGGTCCCTCACCCAAGGTGATTGATGCCTGTTTAGAATATCAATCACTGCTGTGTATCCCTAGGGGAAGTATGAGGGTGTAGTCAATTATTTTTGTTTGGAAGCCTGGTCTTCACGGAAAGCGCCTCCAAGCCACAGTTGTGACATGTTCTTCTATTCTGCATTGACTTCTTACTTAGCTGTCTACCATATCCCCTCTGCAGGGGTGTGGACAGGGGTTTGTCACTGCTTCACAGTGTGCTAGCCACTGTGCCAAGGAGCTTTTCAAAGGGGCAGAGCTTATACCCCAGAGGGAGGCCTCAAGCCCTCCCGCCATGGTGTTTGGGACATCTGTGGGCCCTGGTGTAGGGAAAGGCTCTGGCCCATGCCCCCGTCAGAGCTGTTAGCTAGGAACCTCCATTGTTCCTAGAATTCATTCTTCGATTTTAGAGAACACGAACTCGTGTTTCAGATATCTAGCAGGTTTGGGAGTTACATCTATTCCCCTTATATCACATCCATGTTGTAGCTTGAGGTAAATTTTTCCTTTTTTTTTTTTTGGTACCAGGGATCGAACTCAGGACCTTGCGCTTGCAAGGCAGGCA